CCAGAATTCAATCTCATCACTTTTTCTCAACATTCCTTTCTATCTCTGCTCCTCCTTACAAATTTACTGGTTTCCTTCCACGTTCTCCCACCGGAGCTGGAAAGCCGGGAAGATGCGTTTAGTAAGGGAAGGATGCCTGGGGGGCGAAACGTGGCGGGGATGGGCAAAGATTCGATGATAATTCGGAATATGGGACAGCAGCCGACGGACGCAGATAAATGAAATTTGAGACGGCGAAGAAAATGGGAGGGGTAAATCAGATGAGATGGAGGGGACAAACGCGTGGAATGAACGACATCGATGGGACAGAGAGAGCGACGAGCGAGCCGAGATAAGAAATGCATGGACAAGAAGTATGAAAGAGAGAAAGAGAGAGAGAGAGAGAGGGAGAGAGAGAGAGGGGGGGGGGGTTAAGGGATAGAATGCTAAGCGATAAGACTCAAGAGCAAGCGCAAGTGCGGCGAATCTTTGGGAGCGCATCTTTCTGATCATTCCGCCGATTGCCCGCGTTTGCCGAATTCGATATCGAATAACACGACCTCGCTCTCGCCACGTCCCTGCCATGGTTTTAACATGTTTTTTTCTTCAGTCTTCCAGTCTTCCTTTCCGATAAAAGAGATGTGATACCCCGATGACTGTCGGGAAGCGAGAGGTGCGGGTCTCAAGTGCCATCAAAGTACCCCTTCACACCTCAAATCTTAACCCATGTAGCCCAACTCACATCAAACCCTAACACCGTACCACATGATGATCCGATGACTATTAAAATCTTCACGACGTCCGTGCTTGTGACCCCAAACTACTCTACAATTCTTGCCCATAAAATTATGCTCATTGCACCCGAGGTTAGTTTCCCGAAACCGTCATGTTATTATATCCATGAACTAGAACTTATAATGACATTTTCGAGAAACGGGCCCCTGGAATTTAGAAAGAACTAGAATCTTAATCTGGATGCAGATTAAGAATTTTGTTAATATAATAAATGCGTTGTGTGTCTTCTTTCCACGGAAATTCGAAAGCAGAGTAATTACCTCTATTGATTCTGCGACACCTAATTACGACAATCGCTAATTTCTAGCAAGCAGTATAGTCAGGGCCCATATCCATATCCCATGCAAAACGATAGAATATTATTAAAACGATTTTCTTGATTCTGGTCGCCTCGTTTCTATTCGATACGTGACGAGGACAAACACGTTTGGTTTCCAGTCTTGCCATGGAAACGTGCGAATAGAATCTTAATCAGTTAATATACAATCCCTTCACGAACCCCAAACATAGCAAATACCACAAATGCGGCTTCTTATCACGTTCCCACAAACATTCGATTCACCACTATTTTAAGTGTTTGTTTTACCATAACATGCACGTGTACATGAACATCAGGTTACATTTCGCATGTGAAGAGGACCACTCGGGGATTTATTTCCATGTGAACACGACAAAGGCTCACCGACCCTCTTTGCAATCGCTCTCCGTTGATATTAACGTTATTAGAATACATCAAACAGACCCACGTGAGGTATATGACGATTAATGGATTCGTTACCTACACTATTTAACGAACCCTGATACAATTTCTACGCATTTGGTATAGTGTGATCATGTGGATTACATGATTGATTCCAAATATTGTGAATTATGGAATATTTACGGAAGAAACACGGCCTTCCACAAAACGATCGCCGCACGTACTTGTTAAAGTGTCTGGCAACTCAGACTAGGTTATTCGTTGATGTCTACGCACCCGCCAATGACACGCAATCGCACCGTCTAACTCGTTAAACGTAGGGACGGGCTAAATATAGGCGGGTTATACAGCGTTACGAGCTCACTACTGCGTACTCCCACTCTTGATTCAAGGCAGACATTATCCCATCGTCGCCCGATACGAAGCTCAGCTCAGAGAACGCAAGTTAAATGTTTTAGTGGACCTATTTATCATAAAAACGAGTAGTCGTCTGCCCACAGCACATAACTGGCCCAGTATCATGACGTAACATCAACACAATATGTTAATGAAATGATGGTGTCTAACTTTAAAACATACTGAAGAGCCCGCCTTCATGACAGCTACGCGTGAGTTTAGCAAAAAAGCGGATTAGAATTAGTGGAAAACGGCCAACTGGACTACGTCACTAAATATCACGAAAATTACAAAATTATAATGTAATGGCTCTATTTTACACGACTTGCACCATGAGCTGCTTGAAGTAGTGTAGGAAGGGTAAAATAGGCCAGATGAAATGATAAGCCCATCAAAATGTCACGCAACAAAGAGTTGGTCTTTGCAATCTCAAAAAGTTTACCAGGTAGAATTTTACCAACGGTTTCTTTTCTCATTTTCTTTCCTATTCCCTATCTTAAATACACAAACAGATAATCAATAATTATAACGTATTGCATTAAAATTAAAAAGGGGGAATTTGGCCTCAACTTTTTGTCTCCCAAACCCGAGTGCACAGCTCAAGTAACTATTTACACCTCTCTCGAGTCTTTATTCCACAACGCCATGGCTCTTCTTGTTCGTCTTAACCTTCGTCTTCCTCGATTCATACTCTTTATTTCTATCGAATCCTCAATCAAAATTGATTGATGGAGCGTCTTCCCGTCCATGAGTTCTTCTATTCACTCACCTATCCAGGATGCGACCCAAACTGAAAGGCAGCGTTTGCTGTGGTCAATCTAAAAAAGGAGACAAATAATAGTTTGCGGTCATCTCCAGAACGCAGAAGAGGCCAAACTGACACGATTCCCTCACATCCCAAACCAACACACGATGTCTTCTATTTCGTTCCGATACAAAAACAAAGTTCCAAAGCTGACAGGCAGCGATGTTTCCTCAAATGTCCTACGTTGCATCACACTGCAACATCATAACATTTCCTTATTCAATTCGGGACTCTATTTTTTCTTCTTTGAATCACGTTTAGTGAGTAACCTAATGAGGCACGAAAAGTAGAATCGAGTGGGCGGGCGGGCAGATCGTCTGATCATGATATTTGGCTGAGAAGGAAAAAATAGTAAACGCTCTCATTGTATCATGTCCAATATTTCCTAACGTAATCAGATGGAGAAGTTACATAGACGGGGGAGGTGGGGGCTTCCATTTTAAAGGGGACTTCCACGTCACCCCTACAACATTTGCTTTAAAAATCATGAAGGGGAAGGAAAAATCTTCAAGAATCTTACATTATTGATCGTCATATAATTCTTGACAGTATCCCCATGCGCGTGTTTAGTATAGGCAGTGAGTTGGTCCCTGGTATAGCCTATAGGCATAGGCCTACTAGAAATATCAGCAGCAAGGTCAATTTTTTTTCAAATCATAATGATCGTCATATTTTCCGCTTTGAAGAGCCAGTAGAGTTCCGAACAAATATTATGAACAATAATTACAATGGTTCTGGTCATCAACCGATTTCTTGCCTCACAGCAATATATTCAAAGTTACGAATAATTGTCGGAGTTTGCCTTTTGCGAACAGTTTTTTCTTTCTTCCCTGATAGCCGTCATTAGGGTCCTCGGCGTATTTTTAGTCGGTGCATTGAGTGAAATGAATCGCACGCAACAATGGCAGCATTGAAAAGGCGGTTATCTCCGAAAGGTAAAGTCACCCGTGTTCACAAATAATAATCAATATCGACGCATCGATAGCTTGCCATTTAGAATCACCTCTCTCTCTCTCTCTCTCTACCTTGCTATTATATCTCTCACACACCAATTCCTCTCTGTTCTCCCTGACCAGAAAAGTGTTGCATTTTTTGTTCTTCGATATTATTTACAAGTAGTCATAACTAGGATTGTTTACATCACTGTCCCATCCACTTCCCCTTTCATTCATTTAATTATCTCCTACGTCTATCCTCTTCGAATGTGACCATCTTGAAGAAGTCAGTCACGTGATGTCAGTCTTGATTGATGGGGAGTGATTCTCGGATGAGAATGAAGGGCGGGAACACCGAAACTTGAATTCTTTCATCTTACCCATACCAGGTAGCTTACGTCCTGACGAAGACAAGAAACTAGCCATGTTTTGAGTATCATCATCTGGCTCCTATACTGCCTCTCCTCGACGCTAGCCTATACCCCCTCCCCGCCAATAACCATGATGCGGGGGGGGGGGGGTAAGGGTCCCAAAATTCTTTCCAAAACGATGCTTTTTTCCGAGGGGGTCTTAAAATGATGAAAAGCGCATTTACCGTGGAAAATCGAAGGACAAAAGAGGAGGGAAAACCACCTACTCTACACCATGATATAAAAATCGGATGAAATAATAAAATGTAGACATGCATGATTCAAAGAAAAAGTTTGGGAAGGCACATGGGAACGAGGGTTAGGGGAGGGGGGGGGGGGGGGGATAAAGTAACTACTTGCTCTCGAGTCAAAACATTTGACACGTGACTATTCACCAAGATCGCGAGAGATCAACGGCAACGAGAAGCAAGCGGCTCACTGATGTCTGATGACGTCATAATGATCCTCGCCTAATCGGTCTTAATTGGTGAGTGTGTGGTAGCATACAGCCGTCGCGTATTGAACGGTGAGTGAATCCTCTTTATATTATCTGTCTTGCGGATTATTTTCTCCCGAGTCTGTATTAAGATCACTCAGTTTCTGAGCTGAATTATCAACTTACCTGTTTTGAAAAACCCTAACTTCTACCAAGTTAAAGTTCTATTGGTCTCTAAATGGAAGATTGGGGGGGGGGAGCCCCCCCCCCCCCCCCGTCACGTTTATTTGAGAGGCCTATACATGGCCATGCGCTCTGGTTTTTTCGGATAGATGTTGTTTCAAGAGCTTCTATTTATATTTAAAATCCACATCTTTGGTTGCAAAATATCAAATACACTTAGAACAATTTACAACGGTATATTCAAATTTAGGGCAAACAAAAATAAACACACGAAGACATTTTGAGCATTTATATCAAACAGTAAAAGCCTTAATTTCGTACCCATGGGCTGGCTATATTATTATAAAAGAAAATTACTTACCTCGACATAAGAGAAGTTAAAATTTCCAAAATATTGACATCAATCACAAGTCATTCCATATAAGAAATATTACACTGTCATCAGAATATTTAGTACAATAGTGCAGTTATTCCAGATGTTTAATGACAGCGTAGGCCCACAGTATGAATTTCCAAAATTCACGTTGAATCAATACAGAAGGAAACAGATTCAAAGAAAGTATGGCTGCAATGCGTGTGAAACAATATTCCCAATACTACCAATACCAACAATGGTTAACTCGGCAGTCATTCAATGTTTTCTGTAAATGTTTTCTTTCACGTTTAAGTCTATCAATTTAAATATCCAATCCTCTGTCACACACCTTCAACAGCTAAAAAAAAACACGTTCAAGACATTCTTCGTGGGAAATTAAACTTTAAATATGACTTCCAACTTCCAAGTCAGCACCAAACACGCGGTATTGAGATCTCCTGATTTTTTTTCTCTCTCTCTGACGGGTTTTCTCCTCGCGATAACGACGTGTGTGTCTGGCTGGAGTCCCGGGTTAGGTGCAAACGCACGTCACCTTGAATGAGCTGTTACTTCCGATTTTTCAGCGGTGAGTTCTAGGTCTTGCTGTTCACTGTAAAATCAGGCTCCGTCCTCGGTATTTCACGTACTGTATTTCAAAGCATGTGAGTTTATCCAGGCAAAATATAAACTTAATCCGAGAACGGGAAGCACACAAAATCAGCGATATAATGACGCATTCGATATCGGATTCGGTGAATCAGCTCCGCTGTACGACACGGGCTCCAAGTTCGAAATCGAAGAGTTTCGCAGAAGAGCACCGTGCAATCAAAAGCTTGCCAAATTTCACTTGAAAGATAAATCAAACAGTCAGAGACATTTCTGTAAATGGGAATAGTTTCCTGATCCAGTGATGGTTCAATCTCGTGAATATTCCAATGGATAGTTGACGAAAAGTGAGCACGAACAACGCACTTGATAGCAGAGGCGAGGACGCAGTCGGAGGAAATTTCAGTGCTTACTCTGTCAGCGGCCGAGACGGAACAGGCGTGAGTGGGCCACCGTTATAGGCAGAGTGAAACGAGACGCTTTTATGGAAATAAAGCGGCGGCGAGTGTCAGTAGTCGGAGGCCGTCAGCTACAGTAGACTCTCTCGAGCAGTTTCGAACACTCAAGTCGAGGAGCGTTCATCACGCGACGGACTTAAAGGGAAACACCAAGCAGTATTTACGATTCAGATGAGCGTAAAATGTGCACGTTTCAACTAGTTTTTAGCGATCCTTGCGACTGCACGTCACTTGAATCCATTTTAAAATTTCACATGACGATTCAGGAGATGTAGATTTTAGCCAATTCTCATATTAACGTATATCATTAGGGGTAGGGGAGGGGATGAGGAAGGGGTGGGGGAGGGGTGGGGATAGGGGGAACATATTTTTCACTATTTGGAACCGTCTTTTCATCGGTAGCCCCTCTTTTCCTTTTCAGCCCCTGCTACTACAATTATTGCTTTCATAACTGTCTCCAACGGCACGTCCAGAAATTGACAAAACTGAGGGGGATCTTCCCCATTGGCATTACAAGTACAACCAAAGAAGGCTGGGTGGAGCTGTTTAATAATGGATTCCAGCGGCCTCGGGTGATATAGGAGGTAGACCCACGACAAGTTATGATTTTTTTAATTGTTATTTATCTATAGGGAGGGGTCAAACTAGGGCGACCCCTGGCCCTGGCCTCACCCCTGCGCTGGATACGCCACTAGACGCGTCATATATTTGCACTCCTAATCAATGAAGAGAATCAATGATCTGCACGAACCGAGGACATGAGTTTATTATGAACCATCTAAACGAGGAAGTGCATGGTATTGGTATAACTAGTTGTGGTTCATGATAATCGGCATGTCTATATGATTGGAATTAACTATGCGTAAACAAAACGCAAGATGCCCTACTTATGAGTTGAACAAAAATGATAAATATCTCAATTACATCTCCTATCTAATTTCATCAATAATTACAACAACAACAATATGATACAATAATCATTATTATTATGTCTACTTGGCAGTCACGCGATTTCGTCATGTTTAAAAGACCTTCTTTTCAGGATACATCATTGTTTAAATAGGTTTTGACAACTCATGTATATAGGGGATTTTTTTTCTTCTTTTGCGACCGGGATTTTTCGCAACATGATGCATAACGACTGATGATCAAAACACAATGAGCAGCGCAATGATTGTTACGAAAACTTAAGCTCATTTTCTGTTTGTTTCAACTTGCGTGTCTGTGGTGTGATCGGGGACACGCCACCACCTTTTTTCTCTCTTTCAGTTGTCTAGCTTTTCATTTTGTAAATCTCATTTGAACACAATAGCAACTAAGTTCGAAAATCAACATAACGCGATTTCAGTGGCCATGTGCATCAACTAATGAAATATGCGAACACGACAATTTCGTAATCAGAACATGAATTCTATAGGACATGCAATAGGGTATTGAAATTGCCCTCAAATTGCTCTCTTTTTGCTTCTCTTGTTTTTTCCGTTTCAGGAGTGCACTTCCCCTGTATCCGTTTATTTATAATCACAAATAAAAGTTGAGTAACCTACATGATTCATTTCTTTGTTGACTATATCGTTACCCCTTCATCTCCTCGCTTCCCCTACTATAATTATTATAACCCTACTACTCATAACACTGGGAAAGGCATTGTAACATGGGAGAGATCCCCTCCCCCACCCCCTAAATGGCGGTATAAAGTTCGTCTGTGAATAAGAAAAAGTTTGAAATGGATATTGTGTTGGAAATAAGAGGGCATGTATTGATCTTCAACTTAATTCTTAAAAAATACAAACATCTGTGTAGAAGACTAACTCATAATAACACTGACCAAAATTGGAGACGGGTGTGATATTGCAGAAGCGACTGGTTTTGCGTCTAGAGGTGGCGGTTGCTTTTGATCGCTATTATCTGTCACGCGGTACGATTGGCCCACCACTCTAGTGGTTTTATCAATAGCGATTAGGCGCGTGTGTACTCTTGCGGAACTCCAAACGAGGGAGAGAGAAGGTTACAGAGAAGAGGTGACAGGGAGGGAGAAAGAGGGAAAGGGATAGATAAACATATTGTGGGGAGAAAGGGAAGGAGAGGGGGGAAGAGAGAAGAGGAGGGGGAGGTGGAGGTGGAAGGGGGGGGGGGGGTATTTGCATAGTATCGGCCAGTCGTCGGTAGATAATACCAAGGATCTCCTTAATATTACATTATTTAAAAATAACAAATACCTGTATATATATTTATAAAACAAAAAATGTAAGCGTATTATTACCTACAAGCATAAAATTGCTCACTTTAAACAACCAGCCTCCCAAAACGAGTTTCAGACGTCTTGCAAAGTAGCTTGCGAGATCAAGGGAGTATGCTAAATAATGAGGTAGAGAGAGAGAGAGAGAGAGGGGAAGGAAGTTAAGAAAAGGGGGTGGGGGCGCTAAAGCAGAACCGACCAGGCTACGCTATCAGAAATGGAGACAGGAAGAGAGAGAAGGAGAGAGAAGGAGAGAGAGACAAAGTGAGGAAAAGAGAGAGAGAGAGAGGGAGGGAGAGAGAGGAAGAGAGAGGGAGAGAGAGGCGCCTTCGACGAATCAATCGACCGACATTTTGCCAAAGCTCGTTCATTCAACCGGCATTCAGACCTCTCTCTCTCTCTCTCTCTCTCTCTACCCCCTCTCTCTCTCTCTCTCTCTCTCCCCGGCAATCAGCTCGTGCAATTTCAAACGTGTGTTTGCGATTTTGATGGGGCCAAACCATTATGATGTCGGAGGGATGTCTAGAGCATAGAGCTGGAATTTGGAAAGAGAGAGGTTCCTTTATGAATAAATACACAAACAGTGCACGCAAACGGAGCGCATGGGGGTGCCTAAGGGTTCCATCGTATACCCCCTTCTGTTTATATGTTCCTTATTATTCTCCTGTTAATGAAAAATGAACAATATGTGTGTGTGTGTGTAGCCCTTGTGCGGCAATTTCTATTTATCTATTCATTCCGAGAAAGCTAATTGATTTGATATAGTTACGTCGATGCTTCATTGGGACTGGGTATTCTGATTATAGTCACATAATGGACTGGCTGCCAAGCTGTATTCTGTACGTGTGGGCTTTAACAAAAGACGAAAGGAAAGCTAACACGAGTCTAATTTGAATCATTTAGATATGACTCTCGTCGCCGAACGTGGAGGACATTATACACGCTTATCTGAAAACATGATAGATTTGATCTAAAAATTTATACTCTCTATCATTTTCAAACATATCATTTGAACAAAATTTTCTCTCTTTCTATCTCTCCCTCTCCCGCTCCCCTCTTCTTTTCCATCTTATTGACATATTTATATTGGTTTTTCTCCTTTTCTTCTGGTAAAAACTCTGGCTCATATAATTAAGGCCAAAATAAAACCGAACATCAACGACGACAACAATGACAACAACGATAACAAAACCAAACACAAACAAACGAAAATGAATTTTCTTCTATTTCTCTTATATGTAATCGTTGTCTGTTAAATCCTTCACGGTTATTAATACTATCCATGCATGTGATAAATGTGACCAAAGTTTCTTGTCATATTATATTCATTAGATTTGTAGTTATAGTCTTATCCAAGAAACCTTCCAAGTCGGTTCGTTTATATCTTTCCGAGGGGGAAACCACAATGCAAATTTCTCGTCAAGAAATTTCACAGAAGGAGCAGCATTATACCCAGCAGCACCTTGTATTGTAACTCTTGTATATAGGCATTTATATCGCAAGTAAAACTGTTTCTTTCGCTTCAAAGATCGAATTTACTCTTTGTAAACATGGTGAAAGGCACGACGGGCGAAAGATGTATACCTTCGTATTTCAGAAATGAAATATTTAAACAATGTTTTGTTTGTTTGCTAATTGCGTCATTGTGTACAACGCTAAGGGTCATTTGGGAAGAAATGAGCTATCACGTGATTTAAACGATGCATTTTTATTTTACGGAAATGCATTTTATTTACATCCCATTAGATATATAGGCCATGGCACTCGTTGTGGATAAAAGCTGACGCTGCGTGCATTTGAAATGCTGAAAGGCTATTATTTTGATCATAGGTCTGTTTTTTATATATAAAATATAACCCCCCAAAACACACGATAACAACATTAAGAACAACACATTCAATTCAAGTAAACATTTATTTTCCAAATTCTTCGCATGTTTGATTATATACAGTGAAAATAATTCACAGGTAACAACTTTTATAAAATGCAAACGCTTGTGGCGAGAGTGCCGTAATAATGATAACGAAAATTATGATGATGATGATGATGATGATAACAATACATGTATTGATTATGAAAATAATAATAGTAATTATAAGAAGAATGATAATAATAATACGATTGATACTATTGATAATAATAACAAGAAGAAGAATGATTTTTTGTTTGTATTTAGAATTCAGAATGGACTCTTTCGGTCATGACTTCCGTTCATCTTCTTCTTGTATGACTCTATGAGCAAACTTTTATGGTAAACAAACAACCAAGCAACGAAAGGAAGAAAGAAATAAACAAACACACGCACCAAACAAAAATAGACCTCGCCACAAAATATAGGCCGGAAAGGTTAACTAGGGTCTCCGTATCTCACCGACCCCCTCATTCCCCCTTTTAAAGTGCCCCTGGGGGCGTCTTGCTACGTTGACCTGGATGGCAATAGCCGATGTGTGACTGTTCGGAAATCTAAAGACTCCGCGGTCAGGCGCAAGATTTTAAATATAGGCTTATTTTGTTTCTTCAAAAATCTATTGTAATTTCTTACTCATTATGCTGTGGTATCTGGAATCTTTCAAGACAAAATCCCCTCTTTCTCATTCTGAGTCCCTTCTTTCTCTCTCTCTCTCTCTCTCTCTCTCGCTCTCTTCTCGACCTTTATCCCTTCCTTCCTTCCATTTTTCTTTCTTTCTATCTCTCTGTCCCTCTCTTCCTTTCCCTCCCTCACCCCCTCTCTCTTTAAAAAACAAGGTTGTTCAGATTTTTTCTTTTCGTAATTACTCTCATCTCATCATCAATACGTATTAATATTTT